GGGGGGCAGAGGCAGACAGGGTTGTGTCAGAGAAGATAAAGGTGGAGACAGACCTTTTGACTTTTCCACCCTTTTGACCATCTAGCTCACACACTTTGGAATGATAATACACGTATTCGACAAGGTACGACAAACTGTCCCATCTGGCCGTGTGTATTCAAATATGACGCACGGTCAGGATGGATGTGTGTGTGTGTGTGTGTGTGTGTGTGTGTGTGTGGAGATTATATGGCCCAGGTTCTCTACATCAAAATGTTTGAAGTTGAGAATGTGAAGTAATTGAAACCGTGTGTGTGTGTGCGCGCGTGTGTGTGCACCTATTCAAGGCTGAGAGCAACTATGCATGTGTATGTTAAAAGTCAGGTGGTTGACATTACCTTCTCTCTGCCTCTCTTTCTCTTTCATATTCTGTCCACTTTAGATGCTTGTGTAGAAACACTGCAGATCTGCTGGTTTGAGTCTCCTTCTAACTCAGATCAGAGAGCAAAAAGTATTTATTGGGACGATTGGTGACCCTCTTGTCACTGCATCTCATTTCTGTCTGGCATGTTGAGCTACAAATAGGCATTTATGTGACTACAAATCTAAATGTATTTGGAGCAGAGAGGAGATATACTTTGTGTGGACTACATTTTTTTTAGGTATTTGTTTTTTGATGAAGACAATACACGCAGCTCTTTCTGTTAAAGGGTTCAATATTGTTCTTGAGTAAATAAGTTCTTTCAAACAGCCGCCCCCCCCCTTAAATCTGCACATGTGTTAGCAAGTCATTTTGAAAGCTGTTTTGCTCCATGATTCATAGTATCCACATCTCTGCAGCTGTCCACAGTCATCCTCAAACCACTTCTTTAGAGTGTCTGTGGGAACAGGGAATATAAAAAAAATGGGATATATTTTCCTTAATTGATTTACATTTTTTAAGCTCTTTATTCTCCACACTTCTACAGTCTGATCTCATAGCAATCAGCAGTGGGTCAGTGCAGCAGCTGCAGGGGGAGAGAGCAGCCAAAGCCCCCGCAGCTGCACTGGTGTGGTAGATAGCAAGCCAGGCAGGACCAGACAATATAGATTTGAACTAGATTCAGAGGCTTTCCTCAGATGGACTCGACCCTTTGAAAGGGTTTTGATATGTTGATTCCATTTCTAAAAAGTGATATGTCTTGTGACATATACTGTAGCCTTTTATTCAGAAATGCCTCAGAGGACATAAGTGCCACACTTCAGCTTTAACTATATCATCCAACCCCCTGAACACGAATTGTAGTCTATAAAAATACTTTCTTTCAGTTTCACATTCTCTCCAATGGGAGTATCTGAAGGATCCATATTAGAACCATTACTTTTCTCACTGTATATCCCCCTATTTGAGTTTATGCTGATGACACCCAGATTTACATTGCTATTCCACCAGGTGGTCCAGATTATTTCTCCACACTGAGTGTTGTTTAACCTTCGTTTAGCTGTTTGACAACGTCTTCCATCTAAACACAGATAACACATAAATGAGATCCTCAAGCTTTCTTCCATCTTTATTAAGTCCATTTTTGGTCAGATGCAAGTTTACATTCACGCGTCTATTATCCAGACTGGACTTCTGTGACTTCTCTCTCAATCTCCTTTAATCTTCTCTTTTCACAGAACGACCAACCAGGACCTACAGGATCTAAAGGGGCCAAAGGTCACAGAGGACCTGAAGGCAATCCGGTAAGAACACCACATCTGTGTGTGTGTGTGTGTGTGTGTGTGTGTGTGTGTGTGTGTGTGTGTGT